TGTGTGTGTGTGTGTTGTGTGTGGTGTGTTGGTTGTGGTGTGTGTGTGACTGTGTGTGTGTTGTGTTGTGTTAATGTGTGTTTGTTTGTGTGGTGTGTTGTGTGTAGTGTGTTGTGTGTTGTTGTGTGTGTGTGTTGTATTTTTTTGTTGCTTTAACAATCTCTGTGTCAGTATCCATTTGTGTGGTGAAGGTGGTGTTTTGTCTTGTTTGTTGTCTCTTTCCATCTCTTTCCAGTGCAGCGCCATATGCTTTGTGTATCTGTTTCTCTCTCTTCCATCTTCCTCTTTGTTGTGCTCTCTCTCTCTCTCTCTTTCCAGGCCAGTCCGCGGTGCTGTCTGCAATGACACGGCTAGCTTAATGTAAATGAATAAGGCTATGACTAATGAATATCCGGCCTCATGTTGGCCTTTGGCCTAGTTCTGTTTTGGCCCATTGGTTTTGCCTACTTGGCAATAGATGACTATTAAGTGCACCGCTGCTTAGTTTCTGCTCACCATCTGCTTCGACTTCGTTCATGGAGCCTCACATAGTTCTTACTCTGCATCGCTCATGGTGGGGCTGTGTTTTTTATTTTTTGGAAGGAGTTTTTAAGTGCATTTGTTAGAGATGGGACATTGTGGATGAAGGCAAAGATGAACATCTCCAGGCACAAAACAAACTTCTGCAATATAGGCACACATTAATGCCATAACTGTGCTTCAAATAATTAACCACAAGAAGCTAAACCACCCGCACTCCTGGAGATGTTAATCCTGCTCATCACAATGTCCATCTCTAGCAAAATGCACTAAAACCTCCTTCCAAAAATAAAAACACAGCCCAACGAGCGATGCAGAAGAACATGAGGCATGAAACGAGTGAAGCGGTGAAGAGCAGCGGTGCATTATGTTCATCATGCCAAGTACGGCAAAACCATGGGCCAAACAGAACTAGCCAAGGCCAAGCAGAGGAGGCCCGAATTCATTAGTCATTAGCCTTATGATGCATTACATTAGCTAGCCGTTGTCATTGCAGACAGCACCGCGACTGGCCTGGAAAAGAGAGAGAGAGAGAGAGACACACAAAGAGGAAGATGGAGAGAGGAAACAAGATACAAACGCATATGGGGCTGCCTTGGGAAAGAGAAGAGGAAAGAAGACACACAAACAGAGACAAAACACCACCCTTCACCACACAAAACTGATACTGACACAGAGAATGTAAAGCACAAAAATACACCACACACACCACAACACACACACACAACACACACACACACACAACAAACACACAAACACACACACACACACACACACACACACAACACACACACACACACACACACACACACCACACACAACAACACACACACACACACACACAAATGCACACAGACATACAGCAACATCACAAACCATAGGAAACACACAAGCACAAAGAAAAGAAAGCAGGCGTCAAAGACAAACAGCAACACAATGAGACAACATCAGCCACAACACTGTACACAACACAAAATATCCACATTTCACCAACACATACAGAGAGCACACAATCAAGCTTCAGGGAATCTGATGAGTTATGTAACATTAGTAGTGCGAGATCAGTCTCTTAATCACAAAAGTACAAAAAGTGTAGCTCATTTATGGATGAAACTAACTATAAATAATGTCTAGTTTTAAATGTCAGTGGACTTGAGTTGGTTGCTGTTTGAATAGATAAAGGGTCCTCTAGCATTATTTTTGATACAGTGACATCTTTCCAAAACAGCTTTCATATGTTTTAAATGACATGAAACACTTAACACTAGAGGACCCTTTATCTATTCAAACAGCAACCAACTCAAGTCCACTGACATTAAAACTAGACATTATTTATAGTTAGTTTCATCCCATAAATGAGCTACACTTTTTGTACATTTTGTGATTAAGAGACTGATCTCGCACTACTAATGTTACATATCACTCATCAGATTCCCTGAAGCTTGATTGTGTGCTCTCTGTATGTGTTGGTGTAAATGTGGATATTTTGTGTTGTGTACAGTGTTGTGGCTGATGTTGTCTCATTGTGTTGCTGTTTGTCTTTGACCCTGCTTCTCTTTTCTTTGTGCTTGTGTGTTTCCTATGGTTTGTGATGTTGCTGTATGTCTGTGTGCATTTGTGTGTGTGTGTGTGTGTGTGTGTGTTGTGTGTGTGTGTGTGTGTTTGTGTGTGTGTGTGTGTGTGTGTGTGTGTGTGTGTGTGTGTGTGTGTGTGTGTGTGTGTGTGTATTTTTGTGCTTTAACATTCTCTGTGTCAGTATCAGTTTGTGTGGTGAAGGTGGTGTTTTGTCTCTGTTTGTGTGTCTCTTTCCATCTCTCTTTCCCAAGGCAGCCCCATATGCGTTTGTGTATCTGTTTCTCTCTCTCCATCTTCCTCTTTGTGTGTCTCTCTCTCTCTCTCTCTTTTCCAGGCCAGTCGCGGTGCTGTCTGCAATGACAACGGCTAGCTAATGTAATGACATAAGGCTAATGACTAATGAATTCGGCCTCCTCTGCTTGGCCTTGGCTAGTTCTGTTTGGCCCATGGTTCTTGCCGTACTTGGCATGATGACATAATGCACCGCTGCTCTGCTTCACCGCTTCACTCGTTCATGCCTCATGTTCTTTCTGCATCGCTCGTTGGGCTGTGTTTTTATTTTTGGAAGGAGGTTTTTAGTGCATTTTGCTAGAGATGGACATTGTGATGAGCAGGATTAACATCTCCAGGAGTGCGGGTGGTTTAGCTCTCAGGTGTGGTTAATTATTTGAAGCACAGTATGGCATTAATGTGTCTGCCTATTGGCAGAAGTTTGTTTTGTGCCTGGAGATGTTCATCTTTGCTGTTAGTTGTCTCACATAGATGCTAATAATTTTTTCTCTTTCTCCTTTGGTTTGTTTCCATTCTCTCCTTTTGTCTTATTCTATTGTCGACAACTTCTCTCCTCCTGCCTCTCCTTCCTCCCTCTGCTGTTCATGTTTCCTCTCTCAGGTGTGTCTGACACTTACTGCTAAACGAATGGCGCGTAAGAACTGCCTGGTGAAGAACTTAGAGGCCGTTGAAACTCTCGGCTCCACCTCCACCATCTGCTCTGACAAGACGGGCACCCTGACCCAGAACAGGATGACCGTGGCCCACATGTGGTTCGACAACCAGATCCATGAGGCCGACACCACTGAGGACCAGTCTGGTGAGATTTTACTCTGTCCTGCTAAATTACCGTCTTCCTGAAAAATAGTAAGAATATTATGCCCTTGGTTTCTCCATGGCAGCATAAACTAATGGCCAGCACCCAACATGATTATCTGCCAAGAACCAAATGCTTATAGAATATGTGTTAGGTTGAGACCTCAAACACTGATCAGTGCTGTTTTGTTTTTATCAAATCATTGGTCTTAACCTGTTGTTATGCTTTTCCTTTTCTAAACATCGCACATTAGCTCTGACCACCAATTAAATCAAAGTAAAACGTGTATCAAACAGCCTTCCTGCTTGGTTGGTGGACGAAACTGCATTCTGTTGTAATTCATGTTTAGATACATGAAGTGTTGATTTGAAACCACAGACTAGAAAAGAAGAGTGGTTTGTCAGCTGTGATATAAGTGGGAAAAGAAGATGTGGCTGAGATACTTGTGAATAAATTTCATTTTCTAGGCTCCTCCTTCGACAAGAGCTCCACAACATGGGTGTCCTTGGCCCGCATCGCTGCCCTGTGCAACCGCGCCGCGTTCAAGGCCGGCCAGGAATCTTTGCCCATCCTGAAGCGTGATGTTGCCGGAGATGCCTCAGAGTCAGCCCTGCTGAAATGTATTGAGCTGTCATGTGGCGGCGTCAAGACCATGAGGGACAAGAACAAGAAGGTGGCCGAGATCCCCTTCAACTCCACCAACAAGTATCAGGTCTGTCCCCCTCTGTTTACTTGTGCAACTGGAGAAAGAATATATACGATTACAAACAGACCACACCAGCTCAAAATAACATGAACTGAAACCAGAAGATTTATAGATCTTTAATGGTTATGATACTGACTTTTAAATCTTTTCCCTTCAGCTCTCAATACACGAAACTGAGGATGAAAACAACAATCAGTACCTGCTGGTGATGAAGGGAGCTCCAGAGAGGATCCTTGACCGCTGCTCCACCATCATGATGCAAGGCAAGGAGCAGCCCATGGACGATGAGATGAAGGAGGCTTTCCAGAACGCCTATCTGGAACTGGGAGGACTGGGAGAGAGAGTACTGGGTAAGGATAGAAGATAGAAAACAGTGGTAATTTAACAAAAGGCCACAGTTTGGAATTTTGGGGAATTTGGAAGAGTTTAGAAATAAACTTTGATATATCCTGTATCATCCTATATGTACAATTCATTCATACTTCTTACCACTTTCCTAATTCCTCCAGGTTTCTGCCACGTCTTCCTGCCAGAAGACAAGTACCCCAAAGGTTTCGCCTTTGACACAGATGACGTCAACTTCCAGACAGACAACCTTTGCTTCGTGGGCCTGATGTCCATGATCGACCCTCCCCGTGCTGCCGTGCCTGACGCTGTGGGCAAATGCCGGTCCGCTGGCATCAAGGTGGGCACTTTCTAAATCTGACATTTAAAAGACTTTAGATATGAAGACTGTGGATGAATGTCACAGACATTTCTGGAAAAATAGTATTTTCTCTCCTTTACCTATTTATGTTCCTGCCATTCTTCTTCTACTGTTGCCCTTCCCTCTTCTTACCTGTTCCTGTTTTCTTGTCTGATTTTCCATCCCTTTCATCTCCTGCCTCTTCATCTTGTTCCTCCTCTTATTTTTCAGGTCATTATGGTGACTGGTGACCACCCAATCACAGCCAAGGCCATTGCTAAGGGTGTCGGCATCATCTCCGAGGGCAACGAGACAGTCGAAGATATTGCTGCACGCCTTAACATCCCTGTCAGTCAGGTCAACCCCAGGTAAGACAGTAAACATAAACTACAACAGGTATTCATGTAGCCTCACCAGATATTTTAATTCAGCCGTAAGAGTTAAGGCTGTAGAACACCAAGCATGTAAAAGGTGTTTATATGACAATAGTTACTTTCATTTGTTACAAAGACCTTATTGATCTGCTTTGTCTGTATTGTGTAGGGATGCCAAGGCCTGTGTGATCCACGGCACAGACCTGAAGGACCTCAGTCAGGACCAGATGGACGATATTTTGAGGAACCACACAGAGATCGTCTTTGCCAGAACTTCCCCACAGCAGAAACTAATCATTGTAGAAGGCTGCCAGAGACAGGTACTATACTTAACACACTGTCATAAACAGGTAGACATAGGTAAATGAATATATGCACATGCAGACTAGTGCTTGTAGTAGAAAAAAAGAAGTCCATTTTAGCAATTTGTGGTCTGAAATGGAATAAAATCTCTAAACCCTAATTTTTCTGTCAGGGAGCCATTGTGGCTGTGACAGGTGATGGTGTGAACGACTCTCCCGCCCTGAAGAAGGCTGACATCGGTGTTGCCATGGGAATCTCTGGCTCAGACGTGTCCAAACAAGCTGCCGACATGATCCTGCTGGATGACAACTTTGCCTCCATTGTCACAGGAGTAGAAGAAGGTGAAGGAAAAACAAAAAAGGAAAAAGGCTGTAAAGAGGGAAAGTTTGAAATAATGGGGGGGGGGTCATGCCTAAACAGAAAATGCCAAAAGGTTTTCAGATGAAAATCAGCACATTTGACAGCACATATGCATACAATAAACAGTTCACTTCATTTTGTTACACTACATATTAAGCAGGTTGTGATTCAGAGGAGGAACATATTTGTCAATATGGTCAGATAAAGAAATTCTGTGTCTTTGGACCCTCATTTTTGGTTTTGGTTTCTTTTAACACTATTTTTAACAAAAATGATAGGTTGTACGGTGAAAAATGAGTATAGATTTAATTTTAGAATTAACCAGTATTAAACACTATTCTATTTCAAATCACTGTCCTACATGCTATATTTAAAAAGCTAGCTGTGTTGACATAGGTGCAGGCTCTCCCTCACACTGAGTATTGGTCTGTTCAAGAGCCTGTACTTATTTACACACAACCTCCGCCCGACAGGCCGTCTCATCTTTGACAACCTGAAGAAGTCCATCGCCTACACTCTGACCAGCAACATCCCAGAGATCACCCCCTTCCTGTTCTTCATCTTGGTCAACATCCCACTGCCTCTGGGCACCATCACCATCCTCTGCATCGACCTGGGAACTGACATGGTGAGGGAAACAAACGTACCCGTTAACAAGGCAGCGACACAGTCAGACACCAGACACACTCATGTATGGTAGCATGCAGATCTGATGTGTTTATGTCCAATCACACATTAAGAAGCAGAAGTCAGCATGTCTGAATTCACCACACACAGACACACACACACAGCTTTTTTCGATGCTTGTGTGCACTTGATCTTTGAACACTCATGCATGCACAGTGAACCAGGAAACATTAGCTGTACACAAACATGTGAAATGTATAGATCCATTTCAGACAGGTACCCAGGTGGCAAAACATAAACAGTAATGCTTGATGATTATCATCAGGGCAACATGCATGAATGTTCAGGACACAATGCAACAATGGTCATCACTGCCATTTGTAAGTAACACAGCTATACAAAATGAATTGGAGGAAAGAAACCAGTGCTGTGGTTAATGAAATAATCAAATAGAACCTCTGATACTAAACACAATGTAAGAATATTAATTTGTTTACTGGGACAGAATCTGGTTACAAACAAGGCAGGAATAACTTCCTCACCATTAATTTTAAAAAACAGTTTTATGATGAGCCATTTGTATATTGCAAAGTGCAAAACAATCCATTAAACACAGCACTGAGGTCAAGTTCAAGGTTCTGTCTAAACAGTAGATACAGTATGCAAAAAGAACACTGGGTGGCAGTGTGGGACCACCACTGAAAAGAAGCTTTCTCAGAGTAAATGGGTTCAACAAATAGACTGAAATGTGCAAAGTTTGGGACAGTTTGAGTTATTTAAATGCAACAAGGGACCACGGGAAACATTATAGAGAGGCAGAGAATACAGGGACTCCATGAAAAAGAAAGGACAAAGAAAAGAAAGTCTTTGTTGTGGAGATGAGATCTGCGAATAAAGAGTTATTTTCCCTTTTAGTTCATTTGTGTCTTTACTTTCTCAGTATCTAAGTTGAATATGAGCTTAGGTCTCCTGGTCTGACAGAATTTATATGGAAAGAGAAATTTTAATGTTTCCTAATAATTGAAATCTGTCTGAGAGCTCTTCAACAAGAAGGATTTTTACATCTGATAGCTAAAATGAAATAATCCAAAGCAAAATATTCCCGTTACACACAGTGTGAACATGAAATATATGTACTGTATAACAACAACGTACCTGCCTCTTTGTGGCTGTCTCGTCTGTCAGGTACCAGCCATCTCTCTTGCCTATGAAGCAGCAGAGAGTGACATCATGAAGCGCCAGCCCAGAAACCCACTGAGGGACAAACTGGTCAATGAGAGACTCATCAGTATCGCCTATGGACAAATTGGTAGGTGCCATGTTTGTTATTTACCACGCACGCACGACCACACACACACACACACACACACACACACACACACACACACACACACTACTGACACACATTTAGTCTATCAGTAGTGCAGTATTGGTATTGTCAACATGTTAAACCATGTCAGAAATCTTTTACTGGCCCCAAATCTGTCCCACACCAGAATACTCCTAGACGCAATGTCAGTATTGTGATGCAGTCTGACAGTGTCTAACTGCTTCATGGTGCTGACATTGTTCAGCAGCAGTCAGCAGCACCATCTGGAGTCCGTGTGGTGAATAGCTGTAGAACCTAGTTCTTACAGCAAGGTCTCCTACAGCACTGAAGCTTTAGTGATGTCCCTCACTTGTAAGTCGCTTTAGATAAAAGCATCTGTCAAATGAGTAAATGTAAATGTGTGGTGAGATCTTATGGTCTCTTCTTCTGATCAGCACATTTTAATCTAATAAATATAATAATTTACAGTAAATGTTGGCCAGTGCCCATTAGTCGAGTCAGTGAGAAGATTCCTTCTCCCTTCCTCTCTCTCTTCCCACAAAGTCACATGACATTATTCTGTGTTTCTGTAGGGGGTATAGGATTATTCCTTATCAGATTAACCTTATCGGTTCCTGATCAATGTGTGTTTGTGTGTGTGTGTGTGTGCATGCGTGCGTGCGTGCGTGTGTGTTTCTGCAGGTATGATCCAAGCTCTTGGTGGTTTCTTTGCCTATTTTGTCATCATGGCTGAAAATGGTTTCCTGCCATCTGTGCTCGTCGGCATCCGGCTCAACTGGGACGATCGCTCCACCAATGACCTCGAGGACAGCTACGGACAGCAATGGGTATGAGTGACCTGAGACAACACTAGTCTTTTCTGGTTCTGTTATATTCACTTGCTTTGAGGAACCGTGTTGCCTGATGCAGAATAGGTGGACGTCACTTTCTCTGTTGTTATAGTCTCCTATTTGATTGAGATTTTTGATTGTATTTATTTGCACACATAGAATATTACAAATACGTTGTAAATGTTTTTTAATGGAGGGAATGTGCAGGTGAGGTAAGAAACCCATCAAGGACTGTTAAACTTCACCTTAACGTAAATTAAAAATTACATTATACTAAATGAGAAAGACAGAAAGAAAGAATATATACAGTAGAAGGGATCGAGATATTTAAATGGTTCTATCAACCGGAATTTTCTTTTAAAATCAGGTAGTGAGGGCGAGGTGTCTACCAGGTGCAAGTTGGTGTTCCGCAGTTGTGCACCTCTATATTTAATTGAATACTGCCCTCTATTGGTGTGATGGAAAAGGGAGCTGCAGATAATTTGATTGTCTCTTTGTGTAAGAATGGATGTAGGAAGTATTAATTAGTAAGTAGTAGTAGTAGTAGTAGTAGTAGTAGTAGTAGTTGTAAGAATTATTACACAAATATTGTTGAAAACATTCAGGTAGATTTTGGCGATCTAATCTCACTTCATAAATGGAAATACATGTTTGTAGGATGAAAAGTTAATATTTTATGTTTATGTGGCTCGTCTATTGTGTGTAGGGATACTGTCCCAGGTCAGTCATACATACACATACATCCCAAAACATTTCCAGCATAAAAAAAAGAGTTTAATAGCGGTAATCTCTGAATAATGAGAAACATTAATGTAGATTAATGATAACAACTGTAAATCAAAGGGCAACAGCTTCTTCCTGGACTCAACATTTTGTTCCAGCGTTCATCAAACATACAAGGTCCATCACAGACAGTCTGAAAGTCATATATATTCTTTATCTTTCTCCTCTCTCTCTCTCTCTCTCCATGAAGACCTATGAGCAGCGTAAGATTGTGGAGTTCACCTGCCACACAGCCTTCTTCGTCAGTATTGTGGTGGTGCAGTGGGCAGATGTCATTATCTGCAAGACCAGACGTAACTCTGTGTTCCAGCAGGGCATGAAGTAAGTACAGAAGGATCTGAACATGAAATCTAGATGATGCTGAACCAAATTAATAAAAGATTGCTCTTGATGCCTGAAGCTAATGTCTGCTTTTGATCTAATATACTAAACATCAGCAAACGCATTGTCTTATTCTATAACATTTAAACTTCTTTGTCTTTAAACATAAATGAGGCATGTTAACTTTACCTTTTGCTTAAAGTGATAGTTGAGGTTATTTGAGGTGGGGCTGTGTGAGGTACTCATGCATGGTCAGTGTATTACCTGCAGTACATTCAGTTCGGCGCCTCACACAACCCCGCGTCAAATAACCCGAACTATCACTTTAAAGAGCAAGTAGTCTGGTACCACAAAGAGTCAGGATCAGTTTGTAATATAATAACAATAATAATAAGAAGAATCATAATAAACTTTATTTGTACAGCACCTTTCATACAAGAAATGTAGCTCAAAGTACTTAACAACAAAGAAATAGACAAAGAAATAATAAATGAAATAATAAATCATTAAATAAGTGATAAGGTGATTACATCAGAGGTCTAAAATCAAACAAAAATCAAAAAAAAACAAACTTCAGGTTTTAAAGCTGCACCTCTTACAACTGAAACTAAATCGGGTCCCAAATCTGACTGTTTGAGGTTCCACAGAAACCCTCTGATAAGGTGAACTGGAATCAACCGTAGACGAGGACTCATTTAGCACACTGAGATTCTGAGAGTTTCACTCAATGCAAGTTTATTTACAACAAGCGTGTATACAAACAAACTGATTCTGATCTTCCCAGTAACAGTTCCGTCTTGTACAGTGTAGAAACCACCACGGGCGCTTCAGATTACACAAGTCAAGCAGACGTTCAATCTCTCGCAGACAAATAAAAAAACTATCCTTAGATATTCAGTCTCCTGCTCTCTCTTCCTGAGCCTTACCAGGTCAAAATGACCCGAAGAGGTGTTGTTTTTTCTAAACTGAACAGTTTGGTGTCATAGTATTATATCTGTGTATTATAGCCTGTTACTGTTGGTGACATCACCAGAAGACCTGACCATCCTCTGGTGTCTGAGGTGTTAGACCTCAGCTGACTCCAACACAGATCAGCATATGTCACACGTGCTTTGTCATCAGCTGTCATCAAGAGCACTTCAGAACCTGAAATCTTAGATAACCCTTTCCAGTCACAGGGCACATTGATCCCTTTGCTGTGGATTCCTCACATCACTATCTTTTTTTTAGCATTTCCTCACCATCTGCACATCTGTTACTTTGCTGACTTTGTCTTATTTCTTTCTCTCTTTCTCTCTTTCTTTCTTTTCTTGCAGGAATAAGATTTTGATCTTTGGCCTGTTTGAGGAAACAGCTCTGGCTGCTTTCCTGTCCTACTGCCCTGGCATGGACTTGGCACTACGGATGTACCCACTCAAGTAAGTCACATCACACACTGTTGAGTCATATTCATATTTCATATTTATTTTCGGGGGTGAAGAACATGTCAGTTATAGTGGATTACATTATCCTCTCCTGCTATGAAGTCATGTAAGGTTTTTAGCCTATGCACAATAACAAAGATCACAATCTTTATTAGTCAGTAATAAACATAATACAGATTTTTTTCTCTTTAATCAGCACTGTAAGAACTGCATTGTGTTTAAATACCTTGTTGAGTTTTTCTTCCAGCACTCTCACTCTGTCCATCACCCCTCCCATTCTCTCTCAGGCCCAGCTGGTGGTTCTGTGCATTCCCATACAGTTTCCTCATCTTTGTTTACGATGAGATCCGAAAACTCATCCTTCGCCGAAACCCTGGAGGTATGCCAACACACAAACACAAATACGTGCACGTTCTGTTTCACTGTCACAGGAGCTGCTTTCCTTGGTGTATGAAGCATTTTTGTCTGCACCTGTTCTGGTACTGGTGTGGAGAAAAACAGCAGGTTGCTCATGTTTAAGTACAAAACAGAGTTTTAATCTACTCATTCTGTTGACATAAAACTTCTATACATATATATATATATACACATTTGTAGTCATATCATTAAGAGTAATATTACACTAATTTTCATGAGATGTAAGTATCATTTTTCAAAGGGTGAACAGGAGAAGAAATGAAAAAAAAGTGCAGGACAATCACTAGTTTGTGCAGAATAATTTCACATTGGACTTGAATGTAGTATAAATAATTTTTTTGCACCAATGTTTATGAGTAAATGAAATCCTTTGAAAGGTAACTATTTTCTCTTTCTCTTTTTTCTTGTTTCCCTCTTTCCCTCTCCTCTTCACCTCTGCAGGCTGGGTGGAAAAAGAGACGTACTATTAAATTATCAAAGCATCATTTACTTCTCACCCTGTCCTCCCCTTAACTCATCCCTCCTTCTCTACCCCCCCTTCTCTTTCTCTTCCATCCTTCCCTCCATCCGTCCCTCCTCTCCTCTCAACATACGCAAACTGTACAAGAAAACTATGTTTACTCCTCCTCTCCTTCCTCTCCATCCTCTCCATCCTCATCTCCTAAAGAAAGAAAAACAAAAACAAACGCCAAGACAACAAGAGGACCAATGACAGAGGAGGAGAGGATGGGGGAGAGGGTGGGTTTAAAACCTTCCCTGTCCTCTCTCTCTCCCTCTGTCCCCTTTTTTCTATCCAAAGTAAACAGCATTAGTCTGCCAGTAACACTGTTTGTGCCGATGCTCATTATTACTACACTGTTAGCAGCAGCCTCTCTTCATATGTGCTTAAACTACAGCAAGACATGGAACTGAATAAAGATTAGAACGAGAGGAATAAAGGCAAAAACTTGACTGTTCCACTTGCGATCCTGCCAAGCAGGACAACAACACGGCAGCTCCCGTCTAGACTCCCAACAGGCGATTTGAGCGGGTGGGTGGCATTACTTTTTTTGTTAGGTTTTTGTTTCCTGCCAGAGAAAAGCCCCCCGGATCCAGCTCTCTAATCACTGCCATTTCCTGCCATTCGCCTATTTTACTTCTCTCTATTTCTATTTTCTCACTGCCAATCTTCTACTGCCGTTCTCTCTCCTCTTCCTCCTCCTCTTCCTCCTCCCCTATTAATAAAGAATCAATCTCACCATAAAACCGAAGCACTCAAAAAAAAAAGGTCACTTCCTCTCCCTGCCTCCCTCCCTTCCTCCCTCCCTCCCTCCATCCTCCTCTTCCCCCTGTGTTTTTCTCTGCTTGTGTTGTTGTTTTCTAATAGACGACTGGGTGTTTTTTAAAAACAAATTGTTCATTAAAGTTTTATGTTTTTTTTTTTTTTAAGTTTGGAGTGGGTCTGAGAGCTGCTTGTTTTCATTCGGACATGACAAAGCCCACTGTCTCTCCCTCCTCTTCCTCTCTTCTCTCTCGTTTCACAATCCTCCTTTAACCGGCTCCAACTACCCCCCAACCCCCCACCCATCTGTCCCCGTTTGTCTGTCTGTTTGTGAACACCGTGCAAACCCTCCGTCCTTGTAAACCTCCACCTATTCTCACTGCCTGCCTCCTCTTATTCTCCCATCCTTTGCCCTGCCCGCAACTTACCCCACCCCCACCCCCTCAACCCCACCTCTGTTAAAAAAAAAAAAACAATCTTTCTGTGTCCTCGGAAAAAGAGATTTCTCTCCAATTTCATTATTTAAATCAGTGGAAATATGTACTAAGGCACTGTACCTTAACTTGCAAAACAGCAGCAAAAAAAAAAGAAAATGAAATAAAATAGAAGGATCTCTCTTTTTTCAGTTTGGTCTCCAGTTTGTTTTTGTGTGGAGTTTTGTCAGAAAATGGAAATAAATGCTGTGACCAACTCTTATTTACGGCAGTAGTGTCAAGTCATCTGTTTTCTACCTTTAACACACCATTTAGTCGACATAGTGTGATAGAAATATTGTGGCTCAAGTTTATGAAAATTCACTGGAAGAAGATGAAGAAAGCAGAACTGAAGAGACCCGGTTCTACATGTGACGATCAGTCCATGATGGAAACAGCCTCACTGATCTCACAGTCACCTGGGGACCTCCACAACCTAACAGGTATCAATTTACAACAAAATGAGCATTGTAACATAGCAGGAAAAAATGTTTCACCACAAGGTCCATTTAGTGGGTGTATCACATGATCTTCCTCTGTGTGGCCAGATGTTCAGATTTCCACATTTCTTATCACTTTAAACCTTTTGGTTTGTTTGTTAGTCTCCTGATAAAGACACTAAGAACATCGTCATGTTAAAAGACTGTAACCATCATAAAGCGCCATGGAAATTATGTGGCTCCACCCTGCATTAGGCAGTGGATCACATAATGACCAACTAACAATCCATGAGAAATTTGAACTAGTAAATGTGGTGGGAAAGTGAATCTGCTCCATAATCAGTTGTAAAATGCCCCAAATGATTGTAAAAAAAAAAAATGATATTACATTATTATATTATAGAACCACCAGTGACATGAAGTTAGGACCTAATGAAAATTCATCAGCAGAGTGTGTGACAAGTATAAATGTCCTAAATATCGGCACCACGGATTGTTTGCTGATATATGATACATTATAGACAGGAAGGTACTGCTGTATTATCACCCTATACCTGTATTAATAAGCTCTCATTAGCCTGCATTATTCTCTCCTAACACCCACACTTTTTCCTTAACTGTATGTTGTGTGTAAAAAAAAAAAAAAAAAAAAAGCAGGGATTGAGGTCTGAAATAGTTGAAAATACTGTTATAGTTTCTAAATATCTCACTGAATAATCCTGCACTTATTAAATAGACGTAGCACTTAGTGCTTATGCCAAGGTTTCCTACAGCACTGAAGCTTTACTGATGTCCCTCACTTGTAAGTCCCTTTGGATAAAAGCATCTAACAGATGAGTGAGTGTAAATAGCCACACTGAGTTTCTTTAAGGCTTCCTTGCCTGATTTGATAATAATTACAAGCTTTAATTTTTTGTCCAAATGATCCTCCTATAACATTTTTACACCACATTGTTTTAAATGAAGTATTTTGGAAGAATAGACAGGGTGAGTTTACATACTCTTTGTACATTAATACTGGGATAATAACAACCTATTTATGTTACAGTGGTTACAGACAATAACTTTAATTAAAAAATCTATGAGATATAAGATGAGCACCTTCCAAATCTATACTTGACCTCATCTTTAGCCTTTAAAAAATGACAAAATGAATACACAGTATGTGTACATACTGTGTATTCATTCATGTATGTTATATATGTAAATATATAAAACCCTTCAACAAAAAAAAACCTAGCAAACAGCCTGTTTGGTTTGTTTGATCGTTTCATGCTTCCACTTGTGAACAGATGATTCTTTATGTTTGTGTGACTGAGTGAAACAGTGTCCATGTTTCATGAATACTATTACAAGGCTCGCAGAGCAAATGAGTGCTGCCCACTAGACACACACACACACACACACACACACACAGTTGTAACCCAGGGGTATAGGTCACCTCTTTTGTGAGCTCATTGTTTTCTTCTCTTGTTTCTTTCTCTCAGTTGTTTCATGCAGCTTGTTTAAACACTTTCCTGTTGTTCATTAACTACAATTAATCGCTTTTCTCCTTCACACAGATACATTATTATTCTGTTAAATTACCAGCAGGTCAATAACATTAACCTGTGGTCTACAGGCTGTCGTCTCTGAATAACAGCTGGTCCTCATTACAACTATCACAGCAGCTGTCACAAACATCCTCACTGTATAATGAATCAACATGTAAACAAAACATCTGTATCAGCCTCATGTCTAGTAAAACACAATAAAATAAGGCTTGGAGGAGTAAGTACCACAATATAGGTAGAATATGCCATGTACACACACACACACACACACACAAACAAAAAGGAGCATCTATATGAAAAAACTTGCAGAAGATCATAAAGTTCGGTTAACAGGATAAATAACATGTCTGTCCTTAGACTGAATAAATCTTGTACTGAGATTGTACTAATACCTGTCTAACTCTAATCTAACTGAGTTTTATTTACGTTTATTTACAGTATATACTGTATAGAAATAGATACTCTTGCAGTGTAACATAAAACTCTGAAAGAAAAGATGGTCAGAGGAAATGTTGAGTGAACCAAAACAGAGTATGTTGTCTGATTAAACACATGATTAAGAAAGTGTCACCTGCTGAGTGATGTGGTTGAGGCTGAGAGTTTTATATTCTGCGGCTCTTTCTATAATGATCTTTGAGTCAAGCATCCCACTCTGCTGGACATGACACATTCATGTAGATTACATTACATGTTTACACACAAGGCATTTCTTATTAAAGGTTTCTAATCAACATACAAAAGCTGGGTGTTTAAGTTTTTAAAGAGTGAGATTGGTCTTACCACCATGTTGTGGACACAAACAGTTCACAGACATGTTTTTTTTTTGTTTGTTTGTTTTTTTTAATAAAGCTGGACATTGTAGTTTTTAGCAAATGTTACCAAAGAGGAGTACATAGTGCATTTGTAAGGGAAGATTTTCATCTACAAATGAATACACATCTTGGGCCAGTTGCACAACCCTAGTTTTCTACCTAAGTCTGGCACTTAAGGTTTAATTTCTCCTTAGCTGAGAGAGTTACTTAAGGGTGCTGAACAAAATCTCTTGAAATGTTTCCTTAATTAAGAAAAGAAAAAGCATTTTCATCAATGAGAGATTTTACAGCTGTAAAATTTTACTGTTTCCATGGAGACTGCCATTAGCACTTATGATACCTGTTAATGTTATGCTCCTGTTGTTTTGAGGGACCCTTCACCATGGTGAACTTTGGTTGCTTAAGTCTTTTGTTCAACGGTTTAACTGACTTTTAAGTGAGTCCTCATGTAGGCCTATTAGCTTAAGATAAGAAGAAAACCTTAAATATAAAAGAACATTTTAAGGAAAACTTAAGGAGAAGACTTCAGGTTGTTTTATGCAGCTGTTTTTATTTTTTCAGAAACCAAAACTCAGGAAAATGTGAACTTGTTTTATGCAACTTCCCCCTGGTCTTCAAGTGAGTGTTTGTACTGGAATATGAATCTAAATGGGACTGACTCAAAATAAACTACAGTGTATGTGTTTATAGTAATGAAGGAGCGAGTCAGCCAGTGACAGTGGAGCTCTGTGGCACAGAGATATTAGACACATCAGGGTTTTGGATAATTACTGATGCAATATTTATCAATAGGATCAATTAATTGATGGTTTTGGGGAGAATATAGAATCACCAATTCTATATTAATTTATTAATATTTTCCTAAAAGTGCCTGTCACTGCAGCGTGACATGACAGATGAATGTAAACAACAGTACAGACAAGGAATTTGATTTAAATCAGTTTTTGTAAAATGCGTCAACACATCAGTGCAGTGCTTGTTTCTGAACAGACACATTATCTTGTTTTGTGTTTTCTTTTCGTTCTCTCTCACCTCTCTGTGTGTAATTCAAGCAGGATCTTATAAACCCGTGTGGGCTGGGCCCCCTCAGGTCTATGACACTTGGAACAGAACATTCATCTACTGGGTAAGGTCCCGTTTCCTAAATCTGTATTTGGATAAACAGCTTATAACAAGTGGAACATGGGATCATTTAGACTCAAACTGCAACAGTTTTTAAAGCAGGGTCAGTCATGTGGTCATGATGATATGGAGCTTGTCGTTTTCTATTGTTTTGTGCTTTGATATACGTATATATTGTTGTGTTTTGAGGCTCAATTAACTTCATTGTTGACTTTTATGAATTTTAACCCTCTGAGGTCGATGGATGTTTCTATTCATATCTTTGCGATAATACAGCATAGAAATATGGTTTAAATGTTAGAGTCTGCAGACTCTCCACTTTCCCTTACATATTCTTCGAGATGTATGGGATTCATAGGCGGAGCTAGAAGGCCCCTAAAATTTGGTTAAAGTAGAGTGAAAGACAACACTTTTCACCTATAGAGGGGCACCTATAGACTTTGGTAAATCAATTTCAAGCAGCAAAACAATTCATCCACATCAGTAAAGGTTTGTTTTCACAAGATATTTCAAGAATTTCCAAAAACTGGGCTTCAGTTTTTCAGCATTGGGGCCAAATGATCTGTTTGCACAGCGCTGAGGGAAAAAAAAAGGTGCCTCATTATACAAAGAGCTTGTTCTGAAAATTGTGATATAAAACACT